GGAAAGAGTACAGAAGATGAGAAAACATTACAACTGTGGCTGGAGGCCCATCTGTCCAAGGCCAGGCCTCAAGATAGAGACAGAATGACCAGGCCTACATGCTTCCCTGAGATAAGCAATGAATTGAAAATTATACTGGTAATTGGTATCATTTGGACCAATAAAGTCTAGATAGAATTCAGTCACCCAGGTGAGTGTCCAGAACCTTTTGATCCATCTTTCCTCAAAAGGTCCTTGTTCTTTCCATGTCCCCTTGCTATGTGACCTGCTTCCTATTTGGATGAATATCACCTAAGTGACTATACCTGTAATCCTATTGCTTGATTATAGTTTTGATCCACGTTGTACACACCTCGTGATTTTTGTACCCACATTGTGGTTTTGCTGTATAAAAATTCTTCTGAGAAGTGAGCTCATTGGCAACCCACTTTCGGGTCCCTTCTTATCTCTCAGGAGCTCTCTCTCTCTCTCTCTCTCTCTCTAAATTTTTCCCTACTCTTCACCTCCATTGTTCCTTCTTAGAATTCATTTTTCAGTTTGGGGGAACATAAATCACATGTATCTGACATCTAGCAGGTTGGAAATCATATTATTTTCTCTATATCACCAGGGTCAGCAGCACTTTGGCCCTTGAGGAAGACAAGTAATGAGGAGAGTAGGAAGGTCAGATCAGGAAAGTGTCTTTGTTTTGTTTGTTTGTTTTTTTGTTTTGGTACCGGGGATCGAACTTGGGTCCTTGCGCTTATGAGGCAGGCACGAAACCGCTAAGCTAAATCCCCGGCCCTAGGAAAGTGTCTTTAAATCAGGACAGCAACCTTAATGTCTTACAAATTGGGAAGATGAGCCCATGAGCAAGTAAGTGACTTCTTCCATATAGGGTCTTGCTGTCAACATCAGCACATGAACCCAGGTCTGTGGATTCCCGGCCTGTGCTCTTGCAACTACCTCCTGCTGTCATCTCAGACTCCAGCAAGGCAATGCCTGTCTGGAAGCAACTGCTTAGTATGCAAGCCAGGCTGACCTTTATGCTCTCAGAATCATCAACCTTTTGTTGGAAACCATAGAAGTAATGGTTTGGGAAAATAATGAAAATCATACCACAGTGTAAAGACAACCAAAAGCCCTGCTCAGACTGCAAAGTCCTTTCTACCTTCCAAGTATTGAATCCCAAATATGCATACATACTGCAACTCAGGTTGGTCTTAGCAATAAGGAAATGGAAAACCAAAGTCATGAAAATTCAGCCTGTTTTATTCTTCTTTTGTCTCTTATCCAAAGAAATCTCTTCCCCAAAAGACAAACTCTGGAGCATCTGGGCCTTTGTTTTTCAGTTCCTGAGAGGAAACAGCTTTTGGGAGCAGGAGTGGGGACCTTTTCGAACTGCAAGAGGCCTGCTGAACATCCACCCAATGCCTGAGCCTGATCTCAGGAGAACATGCCTCTTGGGACACACATCAGGATCCTCTGAGCCCTGATCCCTGTGCTGAAACTTGTGTAACACCCTAAACCCTCCCCCATTGCCCCCAAACAGTTTTCTTCCACTTCCAGGAGCCCTGACATATGGTTTCCAGCACAAGAATGTCATCTCTTTGTTCTTCAAGCATGGGGTGGGAAGAGCTTGTAAATGCAAAATCCTCCAGTGAGGTATTGTTTATATTCCCACTAGGGCTTTAGTGACACCTTAGATCTTAGATACTGAATTTTACAGCTCTGCCCTGTCCTCCTTTGACTCTGCAGATGTCAACCTGACTGGCCTTTCCTCTGAAAGTCAGACTGAATGTGTGTGTGTGTGTGTGTGTGTGTGTGTGTGTGTGTTCATAATTTAAAAGAGTGAATCCTGGTTTTCCTTGTACTGCTCACCACCTTCCCCAGCCCTCCTATGGCACTTCCCATGTTTCAATCCCACCAATCTCTCTTACATTAGAAATTCCAGAGTTAGTTGTTAAAGGCTTGAATGAGTGAACCATGGTTCACAAATATTTCCCTAGTGATCCACTGAGTGCCATTACAATTGTGTTATTAAGGTAGGGGGCCATTCTGAGGTACCACAAAGGGAGCCACCTACTGGGCAGGCTAAAGAGATTGACTAGGGGTGGCCAAGAAGTGGGGTCAGCTGAACTTCCGGACCACCCCACCCCATTTGCTTGCCACTCTTTGGCTCACCTCTTTACCTGCCTTCTGAGGAGTAAGTCCTGTCCCACAAGCCTGGGGACACCAGGTGATTTCTTGGGGAAGCTGAGAAGTCTACCTTGTATTTTGCAGCATCTTGTCTTTAGCACAATTTCACCAGTTAACCACAGTATTCCTCAGAGCCTCAGCACAGGTACCTGGAGTGTCTGAAATGCCTGGAGTTCCTGAAAAGTTCACTATCTTTTGCACCTACAACTGGACAAAGGGTCCCACTCTGACCTCAGTGGTTTGCAGGCACATGGAAGTCCAGCCAGGGCTGGGGATTCGAGGGAGCAAATGGGATGGGGCACAGCTATTAAATGGCCTGAGGAGGTTTAAGGTCACTTGGCACACTTAAGCCTAGAGCAGCCGGTAAACAAGAATGACCTCACATTTAGAGTTGCCCAAAGGTTTCAACATTTTATTTTCACAGTAACCTGGTTGGTCCCATTTTACAGAAAATGAAACTGTGGCTCAGGAGGGGCAAGTGACTACTGCAGGGTTGCTCAGCCAGGAAGTGATTATTTTCCAGCACTCCTGACCAGTGCTTGCACTGCTGCTTCAAAGTACAGAGACACCAGGCAAAAGAAGGAGCAGAGCACAGCGAGGGAGATATTGGGAAGTCTGTTTCCTGAGGAGGCTCCCAACCCAGGACTCAGCTCACAGCGTCCCTGCACTACTCTGAAACACTGCTGCCACCCTGTGCCCCTTCTGCAGCAGCAGTTGGGCTGGACAGAGTGAGTACTCAGTCAAGAAAACACCAGTGTCCTGATGTATTCCAAGCTCCCCTGACTAATCACATGAGCACAGTCTGAGCCCTAAGTTCCCAGGGTCCTTGTCCTAAAAAGACTCCCATTCTTTCCCCGTTAACCCCTGCATGCCTGGCCCTGCAGCAGAGCCTTCTGGACAAGAGGGCTTGAGGACATCTATGCCTATTTATTTAAAAGAGCTACTGTTCCTATCAAGAAATTGGTGGATTGTGCCTGGTTTCTTTGGAACAAACCCTAGGGATCTGCTGTGTGACCTTGGGCACGTCCCTACTCCACTCTGGGCCTCAGTTTCCTCTTGTGTCACCTCATGTGGGGACAGATGATTTCACTCCAATTCTGTGTTTAGTTACATGTTGTATCCATCTGTTCAATAAACCCTTGAGAATGAAGTCTCCCCACAGGACTGGGCTAGGCGCAGCAGATTCAGAGAGGAGAGCAGTGAGAATGCTTTGAAAATGCTCAGATTCCCCGCCCTGTAGTGTTTTTTGGGCATGCTTCCTTTTTCATGCTGACTTACCTTTTTCAGAAAATGCCCCCGCTTCCGCTGGAGAATGGAAATTGGCAAAGAGAGAGGGAATAGGTCCAATTTGCGCCTCTGCTATTTTAGGGGCGGTTGAAATTACGAGCCAAAGTGGAGTGATGCGCTCTCTGGAGTGACCTCGGCTCTCCAAGGCAGGAGAAAACACAGGTCCTCTGCTCGTGAAGTGGCTGGAGCTCTTGGGGGAGAGGCATTATTATATAAATTCCAGCTTGCTCCTGATCCTTAGTACCCTGAGTTGCCTGAAGGGGGGAATGGCACTGCCTGCGTGTGCAGCCCGGGCGCTCAGGCCGCCTCTGCAACCGGAGCAAGGAGCGCGCTCCAGCACCACCTGTCCTCGCCGGCATTCCAGAGTAGAGGCCGAATTGGCAGCAAGCCTGCCCGGGTCAGTCGCCGCCTCAGTCCACGCCGGCCCTCCTAGGGGTGTGTCTCACGGATTCAACTCCCGGCAGTTCCTGGACAAGCCCCTAAAGGCTTCTTCCTCCCTGGTGGGAGCCTTGCGCGCCCCGCTCCTCGCGCTGCTGCGCCGAGG